AGCTTGGGGCGCGGCCGGTTTCTGAGCTCGCGCGGTGAGTTTGACATTTTTGCCGAGTTGGGGGCCCTAAGAAATTACAAAACACCTACTCTCTTTTTTTTTTGGGGGGGGGACCTGATTTTTCCAGTGCGCTGCGCTTCGGTGCGCTGTGCGGTGCGCTGTGCGCGGTGCGCAATTCGTGCGCAAATCCGCGCACCGAGGTGCGCCGCAACTATGGTGTGCAACGAAGCACGGAGATTCATTCTTGATCTGAGGCCAGGAAGTCCACGACTGCTGATGACAGCTCTGATGTGTGTTCAGTGTAGCGATGACTTGCACCCTCCAAGATGACCAACTTGTGGCTGCATTGAATGCTCTGCGCGAAAGAACGCCCATCTTCGGCTGGCACAACTGCGTCATCGGATCCATGCACTGTCATAACCCTGCATGCATGCACGGATGCCAGCAAACACAAGACCCAGACTGTCAATGACGCAATTTACGAGTTTGCAAGAAGAAAGGTCCGGGACAGGCCAATGTGAGCAGCACAATACAGACAAACAAAATGCAAGTTAGAAAAACATAMAACATTGRTRAAAAAGARMTCAGGAMAGCTACAGGAAMTGACCAGGACCTCAGTTCCTCCCACCGCTTCCCCCCCCCCCCCCCCCCCCCCCCCCCCCCCCCCCCCCCCCCCCCCCYCCCCMMCCMSACTACACACCGCTTCATCACGCCGAATTTTAAAACCTAATAATGATCAGGGCAGCCCTGCCAAACTCCAAACATCTGCTGAACACACCAACAAGGCAATTGCAATCACCGCTTCATCACGCCAAACCAACAATGCAGATGAGCATGGGTACCAGCCCTAGTTATTAGCCCCTACTGAGGCCATTACCCATGGTACCATGGGTAAACCATGCCCATCTAAGGCAACAGCACAGATGTGAACTCGACAAAATCACGCACAGGGCACAGTAGGGGCTATACACACAGGTTACAATAGTAGGAAAGGCATGTGGTACTTAGTCTATTTTGGCGATCAGTGAATGAAAGTGTAGTCCAGGTTTCATAACTTTGGTTCCATGCAGCAGTGTGATTTTTCTCTGGCCTCCAGACAAAAATCACTGCAGACTCCTTTTCCATGCAGCAGTGTTAAACATGTGGCTTCAGGCACAATTCAGACTTGCTGCTCGAAGGTCCTTTTCCATGCAGTGTGGGATGCCCGGGTTACTCTCACACAAGGTCTTTCCAGACCAGGCAGGCTTGGAGTTTGCTGTTCTACCTTCCCAATATCCTCACCCACAATGGGTCCCAAAAGAAATCCATTTTGTTGAAATTCCTTTTCGATTACTTGCGGGTGATCTTCTTTTACGAATCTTTCTTACTCTGCCAAGCTTTGCAAGCTGAGAGCGGAGCAGCATGAAGACAGCATGTGGTCCATGAAAAGCATGTGTGTATCGGCCTGTCCAGTACCTCTCTCTCTCTCTCTCTCTCTCTCTCTCTCTCTCTCTCTCTCTCTCTCTCTCTCTCTCTCTCTCTCTCTCTC